CAAAGTGAAATGTGCTTATGTGAGACATAAAGTTTTCAGCTTTACGGTTTGTGTAGATTCTTTGCTTGCTTATTTAAACACTGATAATGAGAACACCGTTAACACAACATCCTGCCTATAACAAGATAAATGTGAGGTACATGTACCCCTGTCTTAGTTTCTTTGTTTTTTCCAAACTGATAACATTAACAAGGTAATTTGTAAAGTCCCAACGAGGTTGTTAAAAGTTATTTGCCTGCATTTACACAAGTGCATAATGTAGCTCCCAGGTTGGTGATGCATGTATTTGAAAGATGAACAAAATTTAGAACTTTGAATTGCATCGTGACTGGCCCTGTTCTTGCACTATCCTGTGTTGTAGTGTGGTTGCTTGCTCAGGGTGGATCTGCAACACGCGGCTTCCTATCTTGCTGGCGGGTCTCGGTGGCTATTTTCATGACAGGAAATGTCTAATCATTACTCCAGCCAATGGGCCTGGCTTGAGCCAGTGTAACTCAACATCACATGCAATGACTCTAGTGCCTCACCCCAAAGGGAACAGTAAAAATGGGCACTTACATGTATTACTTCTAAATATAACATTGGGATTTTCATTGTCACAAGTAAACTTTTTGCCAACTGGAATGAAATCCAGATTTATCAACAAAGAAAGTCCGTTTTCCTTTTTTCTTTTTTTCTTCATTTTAATTTAATATTTTACCTTTTTTTTCTTAGGAGTATTTTTGGTTTTAAATTGTCTTTACTTCTTGCTTTTAGGTTACTATAAACTTTGGGTCCATGTTTTAATGTACTTCGGTTATTCCAGAGATTTGGGGTCCAAAAGTGTGACATTTTCATGTCCCTGTTACATCTGACCTTTGTTATTTGACGAGGAAATATCATCGGAATTGATTTCAAAGTATTAGTATTTGTTTAACAGGTAATTTGCATTAATTTATCAATCTTGAAAATTAAAAAAGGTGAACTTACAAAATCATGTGTCAGATGTGACAGGGACACCAAAAAAAAGGCCCCCTAATTTCTGGAATTACCCATTTACATGTACACTGTGTAACTAAATTTAGTGAATTACTTTTAAACTTACATGTAAGTGCTTTCTTGTGAATGCACACACTGGTATATTATAAATGTACATGAACTGTATATCTATTTTTGTGAATTTGTTTTCGGTTTTGAGTTAAGTTGGGATGTGATATCATACATCCACAGAACATAAGAATACATTTTTTTTCTTGCCACTAGATCCAATGGGCTACATGTACATGTATGAAGACTCATTTCCTGAGATACATAAATTTACTATTTTTATGTCAGTTTGTCCTCGTTTTCAAGGAAATGTAAAGCAATATGAAAGGAATCAGTGATGATGTACACGTACATACACATAAATACATGTATATGTAATAATAATACTGATAATTTAAGAATTACAATGCGTCATTTCCATAAAATTGATCAACGGTGCAATAAACGGGTACAACTTGAGTAATTACATGTGTACAGGGTATTGGGACTACATGTACACTGTACGTGTTGAAATATAAATGTTATTAGGACCAAAAACCATGAAAACAATTTTTCTCTGTCCTGAAATTTCCTAACAAAAGAAACTGTCCCCTAAATGCGACGAAAACCTACTCACACATGCCAATACCTACTGGCACTGCCGTACTTGTGGGGACCAGGGGTACTGTACATATATGTACACATACTGTACATGCATGTACATGTACATTACAGATGTAGTACATGTGTGTATTCAGATGTAGGTATTCAGTGCATCAGTAGATGCCTCTCTCACAATTCTCTTTCAGCATGTTCAGTGTTAATTCATGCATTTATGACCAGCTGTCTAGGCTATTAACAGTCTTTTGTACGGTTTGCCAACAGTACAGATAACAAGACTGCGCCCAAGTTTCAACACATAACATCGCCTTCACTGGTTACCTGTTTTGTACAGGATTAACTTCAAAATCATTTCGTTAACATACAGTGTATGTACATGTACAATGTACTTTGTACAAAGCCGAACATGGTCTTGCTCCTAAATAAATACAGGATCTTGTCATGAAGGAGTCTAGATGTCATCTCAGGTCAGCAAACAACAATGGCCCTCTGTTAAGTTCCTAGTGGTAAAATGTTACCCACACTTGGTGACAGGGCATTTGCCATGGCTTCTCCTATGTTAAGCCTGCATCTACATTCCATTACTCTACTCTCATGACTGTTAAAGGACTCCCACAGGATTTGTCCAAACTTTTCAAATTGTGGGCCCTATTAAGTTACGGGCGTATTCTCAATTTTCATCATTCATCAAGCAGGGATAAAATACTCAGCTCAGTATTTAAAACACTGCATGCTAAAGAATGTACAAGTGTCCTCAAAGGCAAAAGCAGCTGTACACTCTCACTGATGGACACATGAGGGCCATTTCACCATGCATCCACCCTCACATGCATTCCTGTCTTCAGAATGATGCCAGGTTTGTGCACATTCAGACGAAAAACTGTACACACACAAACATCAATATATATATATGCTGGTACTCAAATTATGGGCGCAGGAATTAAATCCACTTGAAAGAAAATTGATCTTTGGAACTGCTACAAACCTGTACAACTCCCCGCTGTCGGTCGCCACCACCACATGCGGGCCACTGCCAAACGCCATAAGCGTCACCCCTTTCCCACAGAGCGGCTCGATCTTGCGGGGCACCAGCGTGCTCTGGATGTCGCCTAGCCCCAGGCAGCTGTTGTGGTTGTTGCCCAGCGCGTAGACGTCGCCGTCCGTGGTGGTGAAGATGGCCTCATTGCCCCCGCTGCCAAAGACGCAGGCTTGGTGGATGCTGTTGAGCAGCTCCACCTCCATCAGGCTGAAGATGGGCCACTTGGCCACGTCATGCAGGTTGGTCATCCTCGCCCGGCTGGCGTTCAGGCTCTCTTCCAACTGGCTAGCAGACTGCTGTTTACAAGGGATTGCAAAGAAGTCAAGGAAAAGCAAGATTTTCAATGTGATGTACGGAGCGCATGTTCAAACACGCCACAATCCAGTACGAGCTGCCAAAACTCAATTATGTTCGCTAAAAACACACCTACAGTGCCTCAGGTGCACCTCCGATGAACACTTACCATTGGCCCTTGTTTACAAGTTCATCCGCAAACAGACAGACACCCAACAAGAATGGACAGCACTAAAAGCTCACAGCCCAAGACTGGTATCATCCAATGCAGAGACACGGTATGCCTCTTACACAGAGTTCGCGTATGTGTGCTGAAATGCACAGCACTCAAATCACACACTGTACATAAGTGAACATACACTGAAACCTGTATCGATGATCAACTGAGATGCACACATGTGGCAGAATCAAGTGTTGTGTCACTGCAATTGTCAAACAGCGACACACCCAATCTCGATGCATATTCAAGTAGAAATATAAATAGCATTCAACCAGTTACACACCTACAAAAAGAAGTCGGTACATTTGGATCTCCATTCCCTTCTGATCAACAAGTAAATCATCAATGACCAATCTCATAAATCGCCACTGATGACAAACAAAAATATGTGTATTAAAGGTAATTTCCAATAATCCTCCATACAACATAAAATATAAAGGACAGCTGTATGATTTACACGTAGTACAGTGTAATTCACAGTGTGCATTAAAATAGCCTGCAGTTGTGCATTAAAGGTAATGTATAGAAACTTTACCTTATTTGCAGTAATTAATACTTCAATACCATTCAAGAGAACATCCCTAAAAACCTATCATGTTTGTCTGTATGACTCATCCACTTCCTGTCAAGTCTGTAGATTTCATATATCTGATGAACCCAGTGAGATGATCCCTTTGCTATTAATAATAATAAAAAGATAATAATAGAAATTATTTTGCGGCACTTTCTGTTAAAGTACTCCAAAGTACCTATCAATAAAAGATACTGATGGAATGCAAAGTGTTTTATAAAATTAAAGTGCAGATGAACACATTGAAAAACTTGAAGGGCCTATGTAATATGTAATTTTTTTTAAGCAGTCCTTGCATGCCTTGTACACATGTAAGTTGAGTGCACTTTTGTGTCCAATACAAACTTACTTGTATTTTTAATTTTGGCTTTATTATATTTAAGGGCATTTAGGGGTCTTTATTTTATGCCAATATCAATATGCATCTACATGTAGCAAATGGGTGATGGCATTTCAGGAAAAAATCTTGTGACAGCAATTTTAGGAAAAAAGCAAGCCACAATTTTTTATATTTTGCTCTCTTAAATTTTTTATTGATTCCTTGTTTTTGCACACAACAGTAGGCAAGGTACAAGCACATGTACATGTACACTGTACTGGAGGTCAGTTGAAGAAAAGTTTCTTCGGGAGAATTTTTTATGACAAAATTTGGGGTTCACAATCTAAACAGAAATCCCAACAGTAACTAGTGTTTCAAATCTTGAGAAGTAGACATTAAAAAAGATTAACCAAACAAATATTCCAAGTGCATGGAATTCTAGTTCTAGGGAATGAAATTTAACTAGACTATTTGTGTAATGGACTGCATCCAGGAGGAAAGGGGCATGATGAATCACCACTCACATGATAATTTCACATGGTTGACCCTTGGTTAGGCATTGAGACACCAGCAGCTGAACGATTTTCAAACGGGGGGGGGTCCCATCAGTTGTTAATCATCAGACATCAGCCATAAATAGCTCAATCCATGGAGGCCCACCCAATTATATCTCCTGCAAAAAGTGTGGGGGGCAGGTCCCCCAGTCAAAAACGTGAGGGACCTGCTCCCCTCCCCCCTCGTTTCCCCCCGCTGGTGCATTGATGATATCTGTTCATATATCATTGTGGTAAGTATTTCTGCATTAGGCCAAGCAAAACCAGCTTGGCACGTTTACCAATGTACACCCCTTGAATAAGTGACTCGCCTTATAGGAAACAAAATGCAGCCATCAGGAACTGATTTGAACTGATAAAAACCATGATGATCTAATCCTTCCAATATTTGAAGACTGCCATACTGACATGATTGATCTTACTGTGGTTACAGACAACTTGTCACTGCCCCAACACTGGGCAAGTTGGATCTAGGACCATATACTGTATTTTGGGAATAGTCTAGTTGACTGTTCGCGACCAGAGGTTGGCTGCATCATTGGTTGCCATAGCCATTTTTACTAGCACAATGCAATGAGGACCTGTTATAACATAAGGCCACATACATGTATAAAAATTTAATTGGTGAGTGACCTTTTTTTAAAAACCTTTGGGAGGGAGGGTGGTTTTTTTGTGCAGTTCAACATACATGTACATCTTAACATGATTGGTGAAATTTTTAGTGAACTAGCGACATCACTGCATTCCATCGATGCGTTTCTCTCCTCCCCATCTCTGTTGATCTTGATTCATGACGTGGTGGCAAATCACAAGGATCCATTTATAGCCACAGAGAGGGATGAAGAATGGTCATTCATAGTATGTAAATTACATTGAACAATGTTCCTTTTGTCTGATGCAGCTTACAGACACTGAAAGCCTTTTGTAGTATGCATGATGAACTGGTCAATAATCCTGACTTGATCTACTTGCTCATTTCTTCTTGAGATACTGAAGTTGGAATCAGTATTTGAAAAGAATTCCATAAGGACACCGCTTGACAACATGTGCACAAACCCTCGTTATGAGGCTGGTATTTTCTTAGTGAATATTTCAATATTTTCACTGCTAACTTTGACTTTGGGACATACATGTAATTTAGCTTTCTGATGGCTGAAAGGTGACTGCCAGGAAAATCAGTGGCATCTGTGGGAATTCTTTCCCTTTTTTTTACTTAAATGTACCACCTATTTACATTGTACTGTGTAATACTTTTTTCTTATTTTAATCCCAACACAACTTCACATGTTCACCATGGGCCTACTTAATCATGTGAATTGTCTGCCTATGGCCTTTTTCTTATGAATAGTTTCTCCAAATGGTGGGAATGTCCAACTGGCCCTACCAATCATGCAGATCCATGTAAATGTAGGCCTACAGTGTACCTGTAGTCTTGGCTTTTAGTTTTATATGCGACAGGCCTTGCTACAGTCAATTAAGCCGCTTCTAGGGGAAAGATTTTATACCCTTAAAATCAGTATGGAACAGCAAAATCTTTGAAACTATGAACTGGCACGACTAGGCCAGTAGTACTAGGGGCCTATCCAGTTGTGTTCAGAGCAAATGCTTGGCACAACCTTGGGACAAGAAAGTTCCGTTTTTTGTCTGAAATTCTTGGCACAGTTTTGACTGTAGACCCCAATGAGACTCAAAGTGTACGGGTAGGCCCACTTGCAGCCAAACTTTTCACCAGTTTTATTGAAATAAATCTGAAATAATATTTTTAAAATGACAGATTGAGATTGCGCCAGGCATTTGTTATACACAACTGGATATAGGCCTAGAACTAGTAGTAGTACTAGTAGTAGTAGGCCCCATATGCCTAGTATAAGTAGTACAGTAGTTATCTGGTTATTTTCAAAATTCAAAGATTCTGGTGTTCCTGACTGTCACTTTGGAGGGGGTATAAATGTAAAATCTTCCCCTGCAAATACTTAACTTTTTGTTTAAAAGTTGTCTCTCAATATCACAGAGAGAATGATCTCGAACTGCAGATTTATCACTAAAAATCACAGCCTCAAGCACCGTATAACTGCCGTACAGCATCAGTACACGAATCGTGCATGCAGCGCATGGCGCGGTCGGCACTGCATGCAGCATGCAGCTGGAGCACTAGCACAGCTGTACCACTTAGTATCGATTACTATTAAACTGGAAAAGCAAGTTAGATCTAAGAGTCGATGCCAGCTATTTTCAAGGATAGTGAACATAAACATTTAAAAGGGATAAAAGAATACAAAAATCAATATTTTTCACATTTTTAATAAACTAAAAGTAACCGCGCCTCATGACTTAGAAGTAGATTCATCGTGCATAAATTTGATTTGTATTTATTTTTATTTATGGTCAAACATCAAGGAAGGAAATTTCAGCCTCACAAGATGACGAACACAAGCAGCCGATGCAAGAAGTGACATTGAGCATGCAGGTTTTTTGAGACAGGGAAAAAGCCACTCCCTCCTCGCTCCAACACAAAATACCGGTATGGCTCCTGCAGCAGCCTGCCAATCGACATTGTTACAAGTGTTTGTTGTTGTTTTTTTCCTGACGTCACTTTTTCATCCTTCATCATTGCGCGAATTGCGTGCCCATCCAGGCTCAGTCTGGGAATCGCTGTATCGATGTTTGAACACCTGTAGTCAACAGTGTAAGAGAATCGGAATTGAATCAGCGATTGCTGTCAAAGGTCACTACATGCATTAAGGATGGCGAGTGCTGCGGGAGGTAGGTTACTTTGTTCGTTCATTAATTTCCATTTCCTGGGAATATGTGCCCGTTTTTAGGAAGCATTTTAATGAAACTAACGTAATGGATAGTTTTCCTTGTAGTTTAAACGATAGTAATTTATCTATGTCATACCTACATTAAGAAATTCCCAAGAATGTTACACCGTAGAAGTGCCAGTACAGTGGTACCATAGAGCCTGAGTTAACAAAACGTTACATCGAGTTTGTTATCCAGCCATTTCGCTGTGCTTTCTGGGAATCCCCATATGTTCTATACTGAGGCAGTGACAACTAGGCCTATCTTAGATTTCAAAACAAGTTGTGCATTAGGCCTAGTTGCACTGTAGACTACAGTGTAGATTTGAGCATTTCTCTAATCAGTGCTAATGTAAATTTTGTGTCTATCTTGAATTGGCCTATCACTCAGATTAGGCCAAGGGGTCTACCCGGTACCCCCAGAACTGTGGGGTCCGACAAACCCCGCAGAAATGAGCCTATTTCGCCGTAGGCTCTGCATGATGTTTAACAGGGCATGAACAGGGATTTTATTCTAGTTGTGTACCCATAGAAATGCTGCTCCATTTCCCCTAAGATTTCTATGTATGGTAGCTTGCATACCTTCGTTCTGAGTACCAAGAAAAAAACGGCCCAAACCATGCTGTTTTCCAGAAAAAGGTGCAAATATTTTATGATCAGTGTCCGAGAGTCATGCAATTCACTTATGTACTTGCGAAGACGAGCCGCGACCAAATGGTTGACTACGGCTGTGATCGATACACAAGACATGGAAATTGGCTTCAGCCGTTTCCATACATGTGCATGTGTGTGTAATTCTTATCCGCACAGGTTGAAATATCAGTTGGCTGCGGCGCGCTAGAGGTCACACTGACCAATCACAGGGCTCCTTGTTATTTATGCCCAAATTGCAGAAATGACAGGCAACAGCCGTTAGGTGCCAGTGCACGTGAGCATGCTGAACACTTTCTGTTGAGGCCGTAAATGGATGCGGGCAGGCAGTGATCTTTGTCCACATCCACGTGCGACCTTGACAGAAAGTCAAAATATGTCAAAATATACCTAAAAATCTTATCAGTATACCGAGCATCGCACATTCATCACCTTTGATTTGTGGCAGATAACAACGCTAGCATCGATGACAGCCTCTTTGAGATACTAGAGGTTGCCGAGACGGGGAAGAACTGGCTGGAGAAGGCACTGGACGGCGAGTTGTCCAAGAAGTCTGTGCCGGTGCAGGTAGCCATCGGAGGATCCACAGGCTGGTATGCTGCCCAGAAGACTTGCAGTCGGGTCCTTTTCCTGAGCCACCTAATCAACTTAAACATAAGATGAGGATGTAGAAGTCAAAACAAAAATACCGAGGCAGTGTTGGCCGAGTTTCTCAGATCAAAAGAATGCAAGTGCTTACACACACAGATGATTTGCCTGTACAGGAAATGCATACAAGTTATTGCGAAGGGACTTGGACTTCTACAAAATCGTATTTGTTTACTAATGCACTTCAGGGAATTTTTGTACTGGGTACATTTAGGTAGAAGTGGGGATATTATGAGTTACTGCATGAAGGATTATCTACAACAATCTCCAGTCCTATGATTTCAGTGTATCAAAGGGGTTGGAATTATGAAATTTCATAGAAATGTTGAGAAAATGATGTTCCAGCCTACATGTGAAATGGTTTGATGTTACACTTTGTGGAGTACCTCTTTATACTCTGCTGTCCAAGTCTTTCTCGTGTTTTTCCTTTTTCTTAGCTGAATGATACTCGATGGCTGTGAGAGGTCATCAGGTGTTAGTAAATCAGCAGCCAAACCCTTGCATTGTTCGCTTTGCTAGATATTTGCAACGTTTTGCCCAAATATCGCCTCCTGTCCCAAGCATGTCCCAGCTCCACAAAAGATCTCCTGTAGAAACCATAGAAACATTTATTGCCAGTAGGGCTCTTTTGCCCGTGAGATAAAGTCATGAAACATATTCTCCTATCAATCAGGGTTGCTGGCTACCTGTTCCAGAAAGTCGGCAAGGCAGCGGCCACAGCAGTAGGGGGAGGACTCCTTGTCGTCCTGGTGAGATCGGATATTGCCAGTGCATTTGTTGACAATAATCAGCCCTGTTGCCCATAAAAAACAAAGATGCCTTATTCTTTGGCAGGCCTCATTACCACTGCTGAACGAGCAGTACTAGGAAGGTGGTTGCCAATTAAGATTGTAAATACAAGCAATACAAATTGCTATTTTGCTGGGCAGATCAGCTGTAATGTATTTTAAACAGATTGCAATTCCTAAAGAAAAGATTGGCAACATATCTTTGAGGAACCCCCGTCCCCGATACACAAATTACATCAACCTTCCTAGCTCCTTCAATTCCATTCGCAGACCTGCCAACCTGTCGTACTCCTTCCTGAGGTTAGGCAATGCCACATAATAGATTAAAAGGTATTTACATGTAAAGGAGCCCTCAGTTCATTTAAAATTCTAATTTATTATGTTTTGATGCCAGACCTCAGGAAGGAGTACGACTGGTTGGTAGGTGTGCATTCGGAGGTTTTGTAGTCCCTTGTTCATGGAGAAGCTTTTACAACAGCACAGTGCAGCCACTTTTGCCTTTAATTAGGCTATCAGCCCATTCAGTGTTTCAACAGATGCATATTGGATTCCTGCACCGTGGTGGATATTGAACAGTGTGTAGTACCTATGCTTTTTAACCCTTGCCATTCCATTCACGTTTGTATCATCTCTTTATGTCTAGATTGGCTACCACACAGGACACATCAAGATCAACTGGAAGAAGTTTGAGAAAGACGTCAACAAAACCAAGGAGGTGGTTCAGTCAAGGGTGCAGCAAAATGCGTCCTACATCCAAACATTCGCAAACCAGGTGAGACTGAAGTGTCATTCCCTCTGCCAATTGTTAGACACCGATTGTTCCACCTGAGTGGTATGCTTGGACCACTGCTTGATCCATTGGAGCATTCTAAACGGAAGATGCCCTTTCTTCAGATGGTCCTGGGTAGGTGGCAGTCAGTAAATGATTGGGAGCAAGATTGGCTTTGTGCAAGTCACTTTGGTTGATTAGTTCTCACTATTGTCATTATTGTCACTCGCCCCCTGGCTGACTCGCCCCCTGACCGACTCGTCCCCTGGGAACATCAAGCAAGTGTGGCCGGCCCAATGTGTAAAAAATAAAACCGAATGGTTCTACTAACGACGCGACAAGAACGACTCACGGACAGAGATGGATATTTGGACATCACCTCTAATCACTTATTTATTCAAACGTGTTAGCGCTTCCCACGTCCACTGTCTGATTAGGTTATTTGTACATCTAGCATACCCTCAGGATCAACAACTTCGAACCCTCCTTCCCATTAATATTTGGCCGTACGACTGAGGTCGGTCCAATTCAGAGACGCGCTCTCTTCTAGATTGATGTGGGAATAAACTTGGGTACTTTTGGGGGCAAAAGTAACTGTTTATTCGGGGGGTTTTTGTCCGATTAATTTCCACATAGAGACTAAAATGGGTAGAAATAATGGGGAGAAACTGACTTGTGTAGAACGGTGCCATGATTACCCAAGCAGTGGGTTGGGTAAAGATATTTTGCCTGATACTAGCGAGAATGCATTTTCGTCCCTTCAGGGACTCACTGCAGTCGCACGATTCCTGAGGAATCCAGGTTAACTTTCATAATTCTCAACTTTGAGTGCTCGCTGCAAACCCCAGAACCTATTTTTAAGGGTAGCAATCACTGATTCCATCTCTGACTAATTGTATTTTATTAAATGGTGAATGGGCCGGCCATACATGCTTGGCAAACTTAGGGGGGCAAGTTGGCCAGGGGCGAGTCGGTCAGGGGGCGAGTTGGCCAGGGGGCGAGTTGGCTAGGGGGCAAGTTGGTAAGGGGTGAGTCGGCCAGGGGGCGAGTTTGTAAGGGGTGAGTTGGCCAGGGGGCGAGTCGGCCTACAATCCTAATCTGGCCCCTATTGAAAAGAGGTCAGCAGTGCACTGTGCCAGGTTCGTGAACAAAAGAAAGTTATATTACACTGCACAATCTAGGCTCTTTACAAGGCTGCAGGCCTGGCTGAAATGCTCAGGCGTCAATAGATTTTGTCTGTCAGGCTAGAGGGGCCACCAGACAGTCCTTCACGTGTTTGTAAGTGTCCAGTAAGTGAAGATAGGAATTTGTAAAGAATTTTGAAAACAGAAAAAAGTCATAAATATCCCGGCCCAGCATCATCAACATTGATAACTTCCCCGGCAGGAAGTGGTTAAAGTAAAGGCCGTCTTTAATGGGGCCCATATAACAAAATTACTTCATGTTCAGGGGCAGGGATATTTATACTAAAGGGCGTAAATGTTTTATTGTTGAAGTCTTTCATCTCCAAATTTGCTCCAATTTTTCTTTGCGTGTCCTCCACAGATAAAGACACTTGCCCGAAAGAACCTGGTTATATCAGGTGGATTTGGAGCCGGATTCTTACTTGGCATGGCCATGTAGCAACTTCGATTCCACTTGTGATAGTTTTGAAATAGCTGTTTTTTTGTCAACCGACAGAAAGTTTGCAATTTGGGGCCCGCTGTGTGTCGACTTGGAAATGACCGGCAGAATCCTTGTGTTTCCAAACTCACTTTGTGCAGTATGTAGTCATTTGTCCTGGTTTTGATAATGTCATGGGTGCTTAGCAGAAATATTGGTGTGCAGATATCTGCCACCAGTGGAAACTGTTTTTCACTTAGCAAAGGTTCTGCTGCTTTAAGCAAATTGTTTTTTTTCTGTAGCAGCCCCATGGACTTTAACGGCCATTTCTGTTTTTGGAACAGATATGGCCTACACTTTGTTCATCCAACAGATCCTTTTCAGCAATTTGACTGGGTTTTGCACCAGACCACACAGCAACAATGGAGACTTTCTTCATAAATGCTTTTTACATTTATATCCTAAAGTTGAACCAAAATCGAGCCACTTCAGTTCCAAGCAGAAGAATATCCAAACCCTCAATCTTGTGTGCAATGAGTGTTTCTCCTTAACCGCCAAGTTAAATAAGTTATGCATATCCTTTGTACGGGCTTTCTGTTCTGTTTATTTTTTGTTGCAAAGAATTTTTATTCTAACCTTGAATACACCTTGACTGTCAAACAACCCAGCGTGTAAACAATTTGTGGACAATATTGTCATGTCATTCTTTAAGTTTACAAACTTCTATTTAGTTCAAGCAATGAATAGACAAATATCATGAAAATGGACAAATCCATTGACGTTTTACTGGACATTCAGGATGGCCACCTTGAATGGCGGTAAGCACTGCATTGGATTTTGTATGGAGCGACTGTTGCAGAAGAGTGGCGCCGCGCAAAAGCTGTCACCATGCTTGTTACCAAAAGGGGGCCACTGTTGATGGTGCTACTATGGTCACCGGAATTGTCTATACATGTACATACACCTACCCATTTCATTGTTTGTTCCTGCCAGAATTATGAATAATTATACACTGTTGATTAATGACACAGTATGAATAATCAATTTGGACTGGTCGGATAGCCGCTTTGAAATGAGTTTTAGATTGCGACCTGGGAAGGACCACATGCTTACATGTGTATGTATGACCCGCAAAAGATAACTTGTAGAAACCCTCACCCACAGCATTTGCTTTGAACTTTATTGAAAATTATTTCAACCTTTTTTTAAAATCCATGTGGAAAATGACATAAAGGGAGAATCGGGAATATCCATAAATTACATGTTCTGTAACCGGATTGTTTTTCTCTGACAAAGATTTGGATGAGAGAACTTTGCTGCACTACTCTGGCCAGGGATACGTAAATTTTTCTGAAGTTGTTTCAGCTATTGGACAAAAACACAGAGTTCCCCCCCCCCAAAAAAAAACATTTACTGGAGGAACACACCCTTTGTAGGCATTAGCTTATGTCTGCCTCTGTAAGTCTAGACCCACCTCGAACGTAACCATGCATGTAGCTCATTTTATGTGAGACTATAAATGCAACTTTGACGTTAAATATAGCCGACTCTCATTACAAAGAACACTGTCATAACAAAATACCGTTACAGGGAACAAATTTCGACAACCCCAAATGTTTGCACTCTTATGTTTTTCTTTGTTTTTTCTACTCTAAGAACAAAGCCATGGTTTTATGATTAAGTAATCTGCCCGGTCCCGCCAACTTTGTTCCAATGAGAGTCGACTGTGATTGGACCGTCTTCTCACTATGGCTTTTCTAGTATCTTGCCAGCGTCCAGTGAAACCCGGTGGCATTTAGTTTTGCCATTCGTTCATTTGAAGCAGTAATACCATGTACCACTTCTTTGTGTTCTGACTTTGATTATTACTTAGTTGTTTTGTAGTGTTATTTTCTGCATTGTGTACATGTACTTTCATTTTTTTAAGGAACTGGAGAGCAAATCCATTTGTACATTTTTTTTGGGGGGGGGATGAAAGTAGTCACCCAAGTCGTGTCATTCTCGAAAACTTCATCAGAATGCATGTCACTAGTTTGTAATGCTTGTACTCGCGTACATGTATGCATTTAAAACTGATTTTAGGTACCTGTATACATGTACATGTAATTATGAATGCAAACTAGACTTTGAAATTTATGGATAGTTTTTAATCACACTCATATCCTTGTCATTAACAAGAACCATTTGAAGCTTGTACATGTTGTACAGTCAGCAGTTTATTTTGCCATTGTAGAAAGAATAAATAATTTGTCATCTTAATGAGTGCAGAATAGACCATAAGCCTCAATGAAAGTTGAATCACATTTTTTTTAAATTTTACTGCAATGCACTGTGAAACTTTATTCATAAAAACTCACCGAACTATTTTGATAGATTGACAATAGTGTGTCCTTTCTGTTTGATAAATTAATAAAAGGTTTGACTGAATCTTAATGAGGATTAATAAGTGTATTCATTGAAATAAATCAGTTGATAAGACCGCAGGAACAATTGTGTCTGGCCAGAGTGTTTTGTTTTGTCTTGTTTTTAATGATCCAAACTTAATGGTCTTTACAGAATACTTCTAAAATTTCGGCATTGGTGAAATAAGACTTTTTTTAAATTGAAAAGATACATGTAAATATAACTGGTGATTTACCTTAACATTCTAACAGGTATATAAATCACACTGAATCTTGCTGAATATTTAAGGTTGAGACTTATGTCATGTATACACTAGTCCATTGCACTAATATGTGAACATTGTAGCTTCATGCAAAAGGCAAAGTTTGTTGAAGGTAATACAGCCGGTAAACGTTAGTTTTAGTAAAAGTACAGGCAAAAAAAAATTTCTCCATAGAGGCTTTCCATGGTCGCCATCTTGCAGCGCAGTTCTTTTGTTCTACAGGAAAACTTCCTTTGTATATACTCTGCGGAACAAATGCACTGGCCTGTAAGATGGCAGTCATGCAAACCGTCTATGGTGAAGTGGATCTGTATGTCCTTAGCCTAATGTACATGTACTTGTGAATGCAGCTTATGAGTAGGAAAATATTTGTGTCTTTACTGAAATGATTAGGAAAGAAAACCAGTTTTTTTGAGAAACTAGTGGTAAGATCTGTTGCACAATCAAGCTGGAGTAATGAAGCTTATGTTCCATGACATCAGTTTCCTGCAAAAGTCAGCTGCATACTACATCTCAGGAAAAGTGGCTGGAAACAAGGCCGTGGAGGTGTGGTCCACACTGGTGGGAATTTGCCAACAGCTGGCCAACTTATGCCATGGTAAACTTCATCCACGGAGTTTCCTTCCGCTATCGTTCCTTAATCCTGTCCGCTACTTTTGGGGTTTGGTTAGTGATGTTGTCTTCTTGAATCCGGAGCAGCACACTGAATCCTCAGGCTTCGCAAGCCTTTCACAACACCTCTCCATCTCCTGGATAACATCCACGCACTCACTCTCCACGTACTTGGGTGCTGCAAGCGTGATACCAAAAATAGCAAATTCCACATTCACTGTATGCAAAATACACAAAATACAAACAAAGTATTGTAACAAACTTGAAATGGTGGGAAAAGAGAAGGCTCCTTTGATGGACATTGGCCAATTTTCCTTGTTCCATATCAGAAAGAAAAGAGGGAAGGGCTTTGGTTTTTGAGGGATATTATGGGGTAAAACAGCAGCATACATGATGCGAAGAAGTGCTGTGAGCGAAGACGAATCAGCGCTTGTAGTCTGGTTCCTTGACCTGGAACCAAAAAGTTTTTATTATGAAATTCAGTGTATCCACAATGGCTGGGTCGGCTAACAAGAAGTGAAACAATATGGCATGATGCGGTCATCTTTCGCCGAACTCAGGTAAAAAATCTGGTTTTCTTGCATAAATATTGTCAAAATTTACCTAAACTAGAGCTACTTGGATTAAAGAACAAGGTCTGGATGTTAGTTAGTTTGAAAAAGTGGACTTTGGTTTCCTTATTATGGGAACAAGGTGCTAATGGTAATGACCACCCTTTGCTTGTGACATTAGTTTCAGACAAAGTTTGAGGGCTCGCACTCGTGGCACCAAGCATGCCAAGTGTCGTGAGTATGACTGTGTGTGAGCGTACCTGGCATAAGTCTTATTGCTGATACCGCATGAGTGATTTTTGCAGAATGGTAGGCATTGTGGGGAAAAACCGGGGGCAATGTTTTGGTCCTTTTTCCTTTCCAGTACAAAATTACTCACGCGGTATCAGCAATGAGCATGGTAATG